CTGGTCAACCACTCTAATAAACCTGTGGTGGTGGACTTGATCCATACGGTAATTACTAAGTTTTGTGGTGATGTTTGATGATTGTATTTGTGTCAAATGTAAACAATTTGTATACATGCGATCTTGTTTAGGTGCTGATGAAGACTGTGCTCCAGCTGAGCGAGAGTACTCCAGACTCCATGGTTATGTTGTTGTCTGACCTGCAGTTGTCAGGGAAGGTGCTTTGTGCCTGCCAAGTACCCAAGGTACAGCACACACAAAATCTCACAACTATGATATAATTATCCACAGGTATGTGATTGTCTTCTTACTCTCTTCCTAGGGCTCTGCCAGTGGCTCAGCCCTTAAATGGGCTCATTCTGTGTGTGCACGCTTGGGAGGAAATGCAGACGGCTCAACCGATGTGGCTAAAGGTGTAGGAAAAGCAGCCAAACTCACAGATATTACAGACATCTTGCACTTGGCTGAAGAATTTGCGCAAAACAAAATCCGAAAGGGATCCTGAACAAACTAATCTTGGATACCACAATGGATGTGTTTCATCAAAATGGTTAAATCAATCAAAAATATACTTCCTGTTCCTTTGTTTTAAAAGGTTGGGATTGTGAAATTTTGATATTAAACATTGCTATTAGGTTATTTATTGCTCTGTTTTGGGTACACTGTATAATAGTAAGGTTTGGTTCAAGAAAATTTGATTAAATTCAAGGAATGGCATTGCTCTGTTAAGAATTTATAATTGTTAATACATGATTGATATAATTTATAATCTGCCTGATTGTCAGTTAAATGTTACAATCATAGTGTTTGAAATACTGTAGAAACATGGTTTAAGGACACCGGCCCTCCAGGACCGAGTTTGGACACCCCTGGTTTAGTGTGTCAGAGCGCCACACTGCTGGCTAGTCACCTTAATTGGAGAATCACTATATTCAGCCACCAGAGGGAGACAAAAGAGCTTTAGGTTTAGTATTTTATACATGAAAACACATTTGAAAAATATGAATATCATAAATAGTAAGAACCTGGGGCCTCATTTATCAACAGTGCGTACGCACAGATGTGTGCAAATTAGTGCGTAAGAACAGTTTCACGCAAAGTGTGGGATCTACCAACTTGTACTTGTACGTAGAAATGTGTGTAAATATAAGCACACCTCTGAGCATGCTTACGCAGAGAATCTAGTGGCAGAATAGCGACACTACACATAAAGAGCATTTAAGAGTGTCACAGTATGCATTAAGCAATCCACATATGTCCTGTTTCCTTTAATTATAAAACACTCAGTTTATCATGTCTGGTTTTAAACAGACAAGTTGCGTAATTGGTGTCAAACCCAATAAAAGACTTGTTTGTCTCCGTACAATGGCTTATCTTGCATTATTGGAAGACTTGGCAAACAATGCGCTCCGCAGAGAAAGCGTTTTCAAAGACCGCGCTGAGAGTGAGAGCACAGAACGGCTTCTCAGTCGGTACCGCTTTCTTTGCCATGATTTCGGTGAGGACACATAGACTGTATAAAAATATGGTTAACACTGATTACTTTCCTGTGACTGATCGAGCTATTATATGAAGCAAGAATGAGTAACAAAATGCTTTCTTTCTGTCCAGATTTGACTAATGCAAAAACTTTGATAAATACGTCTTTAATAATGTCTAAATATGGGCGTCTATGGGATTGATTCCCTTTTTCAGCCAGCCTCTAGCGGCCAGTTGATGAATTACAGTTTAAGTCACTTCCTTGGTGGCATCACGAGAGAGAGCGGGAGGTTGCCGCTTGGTGAGGATACATACATTCACGTGATTTATAAAGGGAGGTGTTGTCACCATATATGGTTCATTGGAGGTGTTTCCGAATGCAAGTAAACGTGAACGAGCATGTTACTTACACGCATGTGGGATTTTTTTTTTTAAGTATGAATGCAAACATCACAAAGATGACATTAAAGATATACAACTTGGTATAGAGTACACAACATTTATCAACAACATGTACAATGTCATCTGAACATACAGAACAAAAAAAAAAAAAAGAAAGAAAAATTGGAAGAAAGGAAAAAAAACATGAGGGTAAGATATTAATTTATATTTCAATTAGAGTATACAATTAAAGTCATTACAAATTGAGGTTGTTCGCACATGTGGGATTTATCAACAATGATTGCTTACTCATGTGCGTAAGAACTGCGTGCGCGCGTTTGATAAATACGGATTTTCTTGTATTTAGGCACATAATAAATTTCATTCGTAGGACAAAATATAGAACCTTTTCTACGCACTGTTGATAAATGAGGGTCCTGAAGTTTATGAAATAAAGAAGCAGATGAAGTATATGCGTTTGAGCGAGTTGCAATCCTAATGAAACACTTCTGAAGGATTAGGAAAGAGTAGTAGGAAAAGTACTCGCCCAAACTATATTACAATATGAAAGATACAGATAAATTAAGTTATAGTAAAGCGTAAAAAAATTTCTGCTCATGTAGTCAGCCTGTTCCCTCCAACTCAGTCTCATCAACAGAAACTCCCAATAATTTAGTAGTTGACACTAGAGGCAGAGTTTAGCTCCAACCAGCTCCAACTCACGCCTGCTTGGAAGTTTCTAGTAATCCTGAAGAGCTTGATTAGCTGGATCAGGTGTGTTTGATTAGGGTTGGAGCTAAACTGTGCAGAGCTGTGTCCCTCCAGGAATTGAGTTTGAGACCAATGCCTTAGGTCAGGGCTGTCCAAACTCGGTCCTGGAGGGCCAGTGTCCTGCAGAGTTTAGCTCCAACTTGCCTCAACACACCTGCCTGGAAGTTTCTATGCCTAGTAAGAGCTTGATTAGCTGGTTCAGGTGTGTTTGATTAGGGTTGGAGCTAAACTCTGCAGGACACCGGCCCTCCAGGACCGAGCTTGGACAGCCCTGCCTTAGGTTATACTTTTTTACCACTAAAAATAATAAAATTAGATTTTTTTATATTTAAAGATAATTTGTTTAAATAAAACCCATTAGCAGAAGCAATTAGACCATCATTTGCATTCTTAATCAGTGATTTGAAATTTGAGTGAGAGAGAACTAAGGTTGCATCATCAGCAAACATTACTTACTGGAGTAAGAATATCTGAAACATTCGACAAGTCATTTAGGAAATAGTAATGGTCCAGGTATGGACCCCTGAGGAACCCCACAGAGTACTTGCTTTGCCAGAATAGCAACCCTTAAAACAAACAAACTTGTCTTCTATTAAAAATGTAATTCTTCAACCATTTAAATGTAGAATCATGAAAACTGTATTTATATGACTTTTCCAATCAAATATAATGATTAACTGTAACGTCTCACATCCACAAACAGATGCTGAACTTACTTCAAATCTCTAATTAAATTATCCATCTTTATAGACATAATCGGTGTTTTACCACCAACTTGCAGTTCTCTGCTAGTGTCTGCATTGACATTTTACTCTTGGGTGATATTTCTATTGAGTTTTGCATTCTGACGTCACAGTTTTCACAAATTTGCATTTTTGTAGATTACAGAGACAATAATGGTATTGTTTTCAAAAATGTGCACTTTGAAACCCTTTTTTAAAAGTTTACATTTTCATGCCCCCAAAATGTAGTTGTCATGTAAGTGATCAGCCAAAATGCATAAATTTTTTTTTAGTTTTTTTTTTAGATGAAAACAGTGTTGTGTAAACACCCTTAGTTTTCCCTCTTTCTGTAGGTGCATACCACACTCTTCACGTTTGATAATTTGTCCGTTTCTCATAGTCCCACCCACAATGTTATCTTTACGACTTAAGGACATACAGTAAATACTTAAGATTTGTGTGAAGTATGAACTGGTTATACCAGTTGAAACAAAGTCTCAGCGATGAATCCGAACTGTCTACCAGTGAAATCAGACCACCAATGCATTACCTAGATGTACAGCAGTACATTTGTTACAATATTTATCAATCTTTGTTAATGTTAGTTAATAAAAAATACAACTTCTTTGTTAGTTTGTGTTAGCTCAAGTAGCCTACTTATGTTAACAAATACAACTTTTAATAATTTATTAGTAAATGTTGAAAATTAATGCTTTAGAAATATTGTGTACACTTAAAAATAAAGGTTCCAAAAGAGGGTATGGTTTGTAGCAATACCATAGAAGAACCCAAAGAACGCCACAGTGATCAGAATGACCACTTCTTTCTTACTGTGAATAACATTTTAATAACCTAAATAATCTTTTTTTTTTTAAATCACAATAAAGAACCTTTTGAGTAATGGAAAGGCTCCATGGGTGTTCAAGGTTTTTTATGGAACCATCAATGCCAATAAAGAACCTTTATTTTTAAGAGTATAGAAGCATTGTGCATTGTTAGTTCATGTTAACTAAAACTGTTGACTAATTTTAACAAATGGAAGCTTATTGTTAACTGTTAACCAGACTAATATTGTAGGAGGACATGTAAAGGGAACTACAGACATTTTTTTTCAGCGTTATAAAAAATCCAACCAGTATTTCATATAATGTTTATACAGTCATAATACTATAGAAAATAGGAAGAGCATTTTATCATTCACATATGGCCTCACACATGGCCTGGAGTACACACACACACACACACACCTCTGTTCTCTGTGAGGGACAAACTCTGAAGTGATGTTAACAAAAAGTAGCAGAGCAGCATATTTTGTACCACCAGAATAAACATCTCAGAAAGTTAATGTGCCAGATTTTTTTTTTATCTTGAATCAGAACTTCTGGCTTTGGTGAGGTATGTAGTTTCATTTAATTCACCCAAGTGGTTTCAGAGAAAGCAGTTTAATATTAGGTAACAGTTTATCTCAAAATGTAAAAAGTAATAATAAATAAAGAAATTTTAAAAGTAATTTGTGGAAAGTTCCTCTTATAATTGTATTGGAAAATGTTTAAGCCCCACCCCCAGTTCATGAGAAGGAATGAACAACTCGGCTACTCCAGGAAAAAATTACATGCATCTCTCAGTGATTCCTTTATATAAGCAGTCATGGCGATCGGAATCATGTGGAAGAGGTATGTTCACCCCTGTTTTTAGTTGCTCTTTAAATTGTGCTTACATTTAAATTTGATGATTTTGATGACATCGTTAGCTTTATTTTTATTTCATGTTAGTTTTGGTCATTTTCGTATTTTAACTTGCGTTATATGGCAAAAATAGTTAACTCTGTAAAAAGACGTGTCCCAAATTCAGGTTTCTTTGCTTTAAAAATGTATGTCGACCTGTACAATACTATTTCATAAAAAAAAAAAAGTTTAAGACAGGGAAAACCAGCACGGACACTTTTAGTACTGTAGATAAAGAACGGCTTATGTGAATGATTTGCATCATAACATATTTGAATGTCAAATACACACAAAAACTGCACTTGCAAATGATCAGCGGTGGGGTTTCAGACGCTTTTGATGCCATCTACGAAAAATGTTTCTTTTATCAGAATTTGTAGTGGTGTTATTGTTACTCATCCACTTAAGTTTACATTTTAGAGACTTAAGATATTCACTTTTACATTTAAACCTTGCCGGACAAACAGATAAAACATTAAAAGTGTAGTACTATTCGAAAGATTCATATTTTCAGAAATAAGGACTAAATGTGTCAAAAACAAATCTGAATGAGATTATACAGACATTTAACCTTTTGTTTCTCTTTCTTTTTCAGGTGTTGTTTGGCTCAGGATAAAGATTTAACATGTCACATTAAAACAGGATTCGTTCTGCTGGTCATATTGACATTATCATCGTTTGTCATCTCTTGTATCTACGTTTTCTCATTTAATCCAGTCAAACATTCTCACACCTGGTTTAACCTTGTAAATCAAACTCAGTCCTATAATGTGGTGACTGAGGGCTTGTCTGGCAAAAAATTTGTCTGGAATTTTTTAACTATTCCACAAATCATTCAAACAACTACCACACTAAAAAATCACATTTTGGTGCATCATCATGTGGCTCATCCACGCAACTATCATTTCATTCTGGATGAACCTGATAAATGCAAGCAGGATCCGTTCCTGGTCTTGATGGTCCCTGTGGCCCCCCATGAGGTAGAGGCTCGTAATGCCATCCGCAGCACATGGGGGAATGAGAGCTCAGTGCAGGGAAAAGCAGTGCTGACTCTGTTCTTGGTGGGTTTGACTGGAGGAGCCGAAGCTCAACAGCAGCTGGAGGAAGAGAGTCGACAACACAGAGATTTACTGCAGAGCAACTTTGTGGACTCCTACTTCAATCTGACCATAAAGACCATGGTGATCATGGACTGGTTGGCCACTCGTTGCCCTCAAGTGAGTTTTAGTATGAAGGTTGATTCTCACATGTACATAAACCTGGAGAACCTGATGACCCTCCTGTTGGCACCCAACACACCCAGACAGAACTACATCACAGGGTATTTGATGTGGAACCAAAATGTCATTAGAAACAAAAAATCTAAGTATTACGTCTCAGTGGAGCTGTACCCTGAACCAAAATACCCCACGTATGTTTTGGGAGTAGGATATGTGTTCTCCAATGATCTTCCCAAAAAAATAGTTGAGGCTTCCAAGGACATTAAGCCATTTAACATAGAGGACGCATATGTGGGCACTTGTCTGAAACGGTTGGGCATAAAACCCTCACGTTCTCCAGATCCTTCTAAGTTTCGAACTTATATGAAGGATTCTAAAGGTCACGACCTTTCCAAGGTCATTACAACAATCGCAAGGTCACCGAAGCAGATAATAGAGTTCTGGCAAAGTGTGAAGAGACACAAATGAACAGATAAAACAGCATGCGAGGAACAGGAATGAGCAAAATAAAGACACAGCACATCTTCTGAGCAAATGGCTATGATACACTTTCCTTGAAGAGGAAATATATACAGCGGGTAAAATAAGTATTGAACACGTCACCATTTTTCTCAGTAAATATGTTTCTAAACGTGCTGTTGACATGAAATTTTCACCAGATGTCGATAACAACCCAAGTAATCCATACATACAAACAAAACAAAACAAATATTTTTCAGAAATTTCAGAAATGAAGTTATGTGTAATAAAATGGAATGACGCAGGGGAAAAGTATTGAACTACTGAAATGTATTTAATACTTTGTCCAAAAACTTTTAGCTTCATACACTGTAGATAATTGTGACCCTGCCTGTGGAAACCCAGCTAAAGTTTTTTTTTAAACAGTGGATGAGTAATTCACTCATTGATCTGCTTAATAAAAGCCTCCTTTGAGATCGTCTTGACAGACATGTTTATTGTGTATTATTTTCAATGTGTTTATTGCTAAGTTTAGTGTGGCAAAATAGAAGCGCAGCCGTAATTCGCGTGCAGTGTATCTGGTCGCCATGACAACCTCACACGCTTCCTGCTGCTCTATGTACTTGGGATCATTGTCTTGCTGAAATGTCCACCCTTGTTTCATCTTCATCATCCTGGTACTGTAGGTGTTGGGACCAGTGTTAATTTTGTCGACGAAAAATATTTGTTAACGAACATTTTGTCTGTGACTAAGACGACACGTTGACGCATAAATATAAATGTAAATAAAACAGGTTCTGAATGAATTATGTTACTGATACCTAATGGTCAAAAGCAATAGCAAAAGTAATAGGTCAATATGATTAAATTGCAGACAAAAAGATGGAAATACAATTTTTAAATACATGAATTATGTTTCCATCTTTGATGCCACAGTTTTGGAAGTGCCTGTTTCTGTTCTAAAGAAGGGTGTGTCCCAATACTTTTGTCCATATAAGTCACAGGTGTTTGGTGATGAGTTTTTGCCACAAGGTCTGCATTTAAAGTCACACCAGAGGTGTTCAGCTGGGACTATGTACTCAGAGTGTGAATTTGTAGATTTTCTATAGCAAAACTAAAATGTGTTTAAAAGTGCGACTGACCAAATCGTCCAGCTCGGTTTGCCCCCCTCGAACTCGAAGACATCTCTAATTTGACAGTTTACCATCTGATCTCATAATAATAATATTTTTATGATAATTTTGCTGGAAATGCAGAAATAAGCCGTAATTTTGTTTTATTTGTAACTGGTAGATACATTTATAATTTCTATTACATTACTACTACTACTGTTACTACTAATAAAACAGATCTCTGGGGGGCCCAGCGGCGCCCCTGCCTAAACCTACCCACCCTTAACCTAAACTTACCCTTAAAACAATGCAAATATATTTTTGGTAGCACAATCTGATAGCATGTTTCGTCAGTACAAAGTCATTAAAAATATATAGGGGCCTTGCTAGGGTTGAAAGAGATAAGGGAAATATAATTATTCTCCCACAATTCTGAAAAATAAAAAAGAAAAAGCTAAACAAAATAACATGTTAGAGGTTCTGATAAAATGCTAATTTCTGCAGTCTATTTATAAAACATAATAAATATACAACGAATTGTTAAAATGTATGTTGAACGAATGATTCAATAACTTGCTCATACTATTCTGAATGAAAGCGTTTTTTGAACAAATCTCTTTTTAAGTCACCTGCTGGTGTTCGGTTGTAATGGGTACAACCTTTATTTGAATCGTAAAGTCACTTGCAAATAAATGTGATTTAGGCTTCTCTATTTTGATCGCTATGCTACTGTAGACAACAGTGTTTATAGGCCTATTCAAACTATAAACTTTTATCCTAGTTCTTCGGTAATTATTAGCTTGTTTGTAGCACAGAAATAACGACACAAAAGACTGTGTAAAGATGTTTCACATAACTGCCCTTTCTCAGCGGCAGTGCGAATGCAAATTTGAATGTTACATTGTGATCGTACTCAAGCTGTCATTTAGGAATAAGATTGTGTGGGCGATTGAATCGCGTTCGCGATCTGGCTATTGAAGATAGGCTATCCAAATCATAAAACGAGGGCTTCAAAGATGCGTTTAGTGAAGGAAACCTGTAATCTACCGCAGCCAGCAGCGCAGACTGCTTTTCATCACGGACAGATGGATTTCTAGCACTTGGAGAATAAATTAAAATGTATAAAACATATTTGATTTGTGAGGTGAATGGTCCCTAAGCCCCCTCTCGCAACGCCACTGTTGCTATGCATCGTCTCGTGTCGTATATTTGAATAAGTAAACAGATTAAAGAGTGAAACTGCGAAAGGGGAGGGAGACTACCGTTTTACAGCATTTCAGAAACATACACATGCAGGGACGTGCACAGACATTCTGAGGGGCAGGGGCTCAAGTGCCAAAAAGGGTCTCTTCCACCTTCAATAGTATGAGGCGCCGGACTGTACAAAAGTGAAGCGCACGCAGAGAGAGAAAGCGAAACTGCGCGCGAAAGAGGAGATGGTCCTCACTGCAGAACCGATCCAGGGGGCGAGGTTGGATCCAGATCCAACTCCTCCCACCTTACATATACCTAAACCTACCACCTCCACCCTCTAGATGTGGATCCAACCCCGCCCCTGGATCTTTGTTCTGCAGTGAGGGTCTACTGTGGGAAAGAGAGCGACAGTGCGCGAGAGAGACCGAAAATGCTCGCGAAAGAGAGCGACACTGCGCGAGAGATTTTATGCACCTCATTTATGGCGTTATTTTCATTAAGATAACTCGGTTCACTATTGTGACTGTAAATGTGACGTGATGTCTGACGCAACCATAATAATAATAATAATAATAAGAAGAAGAATCTTTAAAACCCAGCAGTATAGCAGTTCTTAAATTGGCTCTGTTCATGGCACATAGCCTACATATTTTCGGTGAAATCTCAGGCCGCTTAAAAGCTTCCGGTCTATATTCAGCTATAGATTGAGTGCATAACTAAGTCAGTGAATGATTAATATCAAATTATATGTATACATTTTATTGTTATAATATAACACATTAACTATACCACAGTAATATGTGACCCTGGACCACAAAACCAGTCATAAAGCTCAATTTTTTGAAATTGAGATTTATACATCATCTGAAAGCTGAATAAATAAGCTTTCCATTGATGTATGGTTTGTTAGGATAGAACAATATTCGGCTGAGATACAACTATTTGAAAATCTGGAATCTGAGGGTGCAAAAAAAATCAAAATATTGAGAAAATCGCCTTTAAAGTTGTCCAAATGAAGTTCTTAGCAAAGCATATTACTGATCAACAATTAAGTTTTGACATATTTACAGTAGGAAATTTACAAAATATCTTCATGGAACATGATCTTTACCTAATATCCTAATGATTTTTGGCATAAAAGAAAAATCTATAATTTTGACCCATACGATGTATTGTTGGCTATTGCTAGAAATATACCCGAGACTTAAGACTGGTTTTGTGCTCCAGGGTCACATATAATGCAAAACTTATTTAAAGAATAGTTCCATAAAGTTGTGACCAGAGCAAGGACAGCTACAATGAGGAGTGAAGCTGGAGAAACAAGCAATGCGGTGGTAAATATTGATATTGTGTTGTTTGTGACAGAAAAAGAAAATAAATGTTATTTATATTTATCTTTCTCTCTTGATGCACGGGTTACATGCATTATATGTATCATAATTATGATTATGACATCCCGTGGTAACTAGGATTTACACAAGCTTCAGTCTGGATCCAGAGCACCTGAGAAGAGATGATGCCAACCCCTCAGAGGACCTCAGATGATGCCAACCCTGAAACAACATACAGAACTACCACATTTTGCTATAAGTTTGATTGCATCATATAATAATTGCTGTTAATAGTGTTCATCGTCTGTTTGATTACGTCTTTAATTGATTTTTACCATACATTTCTGCCATATAAACTGATGTGTCACCACTGATAAGCTACCACTAAATATTGTAGAAACTTAATTTGCTGTAAAGTTGCTTTGCAACGATTTGTATTGTGAAAAGCGCTATACAAATAAACTTGAATTAAATTTAATTGAATTAAATATAAATATATGTACAGTGGTGGCCAAAATTATTAGAACACTAGTATTTTCACCAGGTAAAATGGTTTTAAGTCAGTTATTTCTATCTTTTACTGTAGTGTGTCAGTAGGAAATATCAATTTACATTTCCAAACATTTCTTTTGCCATTAATTGTAATAATCCAGAGAGATTTTTGTCTGACACCAGCCAGTGCTCCACACAGAGATCTGATCTCAACATCATCCAGTCTGTCTGGAATCACATGAAGAAACAGAACAAACTAAAACAGACTAAATCCAGAAGAACTGTGGCAACATCTCCAAGATGCTTCAAGAAACCTACCTGCAAAGCTACAGTACTGTTCAAAGTTTTAGGCTCTTGTGTAAAAATGCGGTAAAATGAGGATGCTGTCAAACATAACGTCGTAAATAGATTTTCTTTATCAATTAACTTATATTAACTAAATTAAATCAACATTTGGTGTGACTACACTTTGCATTTATAACAGCTTTTGCCCTCGGTGCACTTGCGCATAGTTTTTCAGGTATAGCTTTGCAGTTAGGGTTCTCAAAGCATCTTGGAGACGTTACCACAGTTCTTCTGTCTCAGTTTGTTCTGTTTCTTCATGGGACATCCCATGCACACCTCATATGAAAATAATTTGCTGCAGCATTTTAGAGCTATATGACATATTACGCTTTAAAAGGCTATAAAGGTGAGAGTGAGACCCCTGAGCAAGGCTCCGAACCCCCCAACTGCTCCCCGGGCGCCGCAGCAATGTGGCTGCCCACACTCTGAAAAATGCTGGGTTAAATATAACCCAGCACTGGGTTAAAAAGGGACAAACCCAGCTATTAGGTTGTTTTGACCCAGCGGTTGGGTTGTTTTGAACCCAACCGCTTTTTTACTCTATGTTGTTGATGTAATGGAACGAGCTTCTACACCAGACTATTCCTCCAACTGAGCCTGGAATCAGCGATTTCTAAATATTTCAGTGATCTGTTACTTAAAAATGCTTATCAGTTGTTACAATATTTTATACAGAGAGATTTTTTCAATACTTTTGAGCTGCTGTTGCAGAAGTAGAAGCTTTAAACTATATTTACGGTTCGGAACATTAGGTCTTCATTTCTGACATGCTGTGTTTACAGTTTTCTTCAACTGCTTACACACATTTTCTAAACTTTACCTCTTTTTTTCAAAACTTAACACACAAATCCAAGAATTGCACACACAAAATGCAAAATGCCTCACATCTCTTGCAAAATGACACACTGCATTCAAAAGATCACAAACACATCTCAAAAGCAAACAGCTGTCTTACATTGCAAACACTTTTGCCATAATAATATATTTTTGGATATGTCATATGCACACAGTAATTCAAAACCTAAAGCTCTTCTTTCATGAGCTCCTATGGACATTTCTGTACAAGAGCGAAAGTAATTGTCAGATAAATTTTTAAAAATTCACAGTGTAAACAAAAGCAAGATTGAAACCAAACTTTTTTTTTTCTTTACTGTAAGCATTTGTGGTTGTGAATATAGATAGTACTAGAGAAAAGAAAAGAAATACAACAATGTGTAGTTGGACAGAATCCAAACAATTTTGAAAAAAGATGATTATAGAAGAGAAAAGAAATACAACAATGTGTAGTTGGATAGAATCCAAACATAATTTTGAAAAAAGATGGAATTGTGTGTGTGTGATGGTTGGGTGCATCTAGGCTCAATCCCTCCTCCGGGCTGGGTCCGGCCACAATACTTCATCCACGTCACATGCTATGTTCTCTCTTGCCAGACACCGTGGAAAGAACCTCCTTGTATGGCGTATCCAACCTTGGATGGAGGCGGCATCAATGTCTCCACATGCCTCCTCCATTGCCTGGAGAAGTGTCATGTTGACATAGGGATGACGATCATACACTTTCCAGCGCCATGTGGAGAAATTCCTCTATAGGGTTTAGAAATGGTGAATATGGAGGCAGGTAGACAACAGAAAATGGGGACGAGTAACAAACCAGTTTTGGACCTGATGGGCGTGATGAAAGCTGACATTATCCCAGATGAGGACAAATCTTGCCTGGTCTTCATTCTGCAGACCTTGAACAAGCATGAGTGTGCAGTGACCTCACATTGGGAGCATAGTATGAGCGCACAGTGAGTGTGCAGTGACCTCACATTGGGAGCATAGTATGAGCACACAGTGAGTGTGCTGTGTGGTTAAACTTTTAGCTCACTGTGACACACACATTGTGACCACACCATGAGAATCGTGTGAGCTCATGGTGACATCATTGTGAGATCAAATTGTTGACTGGGTAGGCAGCTCATAGAAAGGCACTTATCTTGGCGTTGTGCAATATCATGCAATAAAGTAGCAGGTTCCTCAGAAAACGGTGGCTACTGCAATGATTAGGCATATTCTAATATTTAATATAATCTTTTAGTTTACTGTCAGCTTCCAAAAGATATTCAAGATATATTTATACAGAGGCCAAGTAGAGCTTCCTCCTCTTGTGGGTCTTTTTCTTCCTTTTCTCAGTACTCAGTTTCTTTTCATACTTTAGCCCCACCCCTGGTTAAATGATTAAAAGAAGTAACAAAGAAACTCAGGTAATGTAGGGCAAAACAACTGAGTTCATCTGTCATTGGTTCGTTTAGATAAGAAGTCAAACACGCAGTAATGGCAATCGAATGCATACGGACGAGGTACGTTCACTCCTGCTTTTTTTATATGAGGTTTAAACTGTGATTTTAATACGAAGACTCATTCAGTAGGGGATGTGTTTTCGTATGCTGTTTTTAGGCAACAGTTTATTTTATAGTGTTAGACTGTCGATATCTTACTGACCGAAAATGTTAGATCAAGTCATCATGTCAGAAATGTTAAATCCAGTCCCTTTCAGATTGCATTTTACTTGGTACACAAAACTGGGTAACACCAAGTATTGTTTGATACCCAAAATGGCATTAACAATCTTTTATCAGCCTTCACAACATTATCCTGTGACGTTAAAAACCTTGCAATAAGGACAGTCGCCTTATCTGGTAATGGTGAAGACGGAAGCAAGAGCAAGGAAAGGAAATAGATAAAATAATTAGTAGCATAATAAAAAGAAACGAATAATTATATGGTTAAATGCTAAATGATTAAAAAATGTATAAAACAAAGATGTATATGATACATTTTTTTAAGATGTTGCGTGTTATGCAGTTCCTCTTTTCCTATGAATAATAGTTTAGCAATTAAGCAATAACAGTTAAGATATATTACCTAATAGAAATCAGTCACTCAGAGTCCACACAAAATCAGTACATGTTCAAGTGTCCTGTCACTGTATTCAAGGGTGTAAAAAGTAATCAAAAATTATACTCAAGTGAAAGTACAAGTATCTGGCCAAAAACATACTTGAGTAAAAGCAAAAAAGTGCAACTTTAAATTGTACACAAGTATTTAAAGGGGTCATGCGACGTTGCTAAAAAGAACATTCTTTGGATTTGAGACTTTAGTCTTTGCAACTTTACAGATCTTCTCTATGCACCAAGAGCTTGTAACACTCCAAAGAGAAAGGAAAAATTGAAATCGCATCATATGACCCCTTTAAAAAAATCATATTGAACCATCTTCTCAGTGCAGAGTGAAATTGCTTAAAAATAAACCGCATAAAATGTTTTGTCAGAAAGACATACAAAGCTTTGATTAAAGGAAGAAAAAACGCAATGGCACAGATCAAACACATCTATCTACTGCAACAATTAAAATGCAGTATTGGCACACACACACAAAAAATCCATTTACACCTTAATGCCATCCCATATGTATATGACTTCTTTCTTCAGATAAACACGAACTAAGAGTTAAAAAAAATATCCATCTTTCTGCATATAATGCAAGTGTACAGCATGTATAAAGAAGCTGCTTCAAAAACAAAACAAAGAGAAGATGACTGTAACCCATATAACCCCTTTTGATGTCTTCTTAAGCTGAACAATAGGTGTGTGAAAGAAACAAATACTACAAATACTACTTTTTGAAACTTTACCATTGTGTTTACTTTGTGCTTTTTGAAGCGGTCAGAATTTTTATATCTGGGATGGCATGAGGGTGAGTAAATGATGAGAGAACTTTAATTTTTGAGTGGAGTATCACTTTAATGAGCCAAATGTGATGTAGGGGCCAGAAATATATTCCAGACAGAATATAAGAACTTGTGTTGAATAAATAATGAGTGAATTAAAACATACAATGTTGACTTTTTGAAAAAGCCACATTTTTTGTGTTTTCTACTCAGCGCTCCTGTCTGTAACAATTTTTCTTTTAATTGTTTATTTGGGGCATTGTTTTTTCTCAGCAGATATTGATATATAATTATTTATGACTAATTAGATTAATAAGCAAATCATGTACTTATTTAGACTAAATAATAATTCATTGACAGTCCTAATTGTTACTCACACAATACAACTTCCCAACTCTCAGGTAAGAATATCACTAAACTTTATGTACAATTAATTTATCACGTTCATCAAAACAGACAAAAATAATGAATAAACTTAGCTACCTTAATATGCTTCCTCACATTTGATGGCAAAGAAATTTTGAAGCCAGCAATTTACCTGATGAAAGTTATAACCGAAGCTGAAAGGGATGTGCTTGATGCATGACAATGAGCCTAATTAGCATGCATGTTTGAGCTTCCATGTACCATATTTAATGTGTGTAAGATAAAATAAAAATGCAAAAATGGAACAAGTACTTTTTCAAGTTGAAATAAAGTCGTAAGGAGTAAAAAGGGCTGTTTTTCCATTTCCATTTCCATTAAGTAATGTAGCAGACACTTTTATCCAAAGTGACTTACAAATGAGGACAATGGAAGCAATCAATATCAACAAAAGAGCAATGATACGCAAGTGCTATGACAAGTCTCGGTTAGCCTAATGCAGTACACATAGCAAGGTTTTTCGCTGTCGTTGTTTTTGGTTTTTTATATAATAAACAAAAAGAAAACAAGTAGATAGAAGAAATAGAGTGCAAGTGTTAGAGGGTCAAGTGTTTTTTTTTTTATAAAAAAGAAAACAAATAGATGCAATAGAATTAGAACAGAGAGTGCTAGAGTTAGAGGGTCAAATAAAGATGGAAGAGATGTTAAATTTTTATTTGTGCCATACCCCTTCTGCAGCCCTGAGCTTAGAATGATGTTCGCGGAGAACATCAGACAGCCAAGGGGCAGAAGGGGTGGTATGGGCTGAATGGCCAGAAAGACAAGGGACAGACAGTGTCTAAACAAGACGTACTGTAAAAGTGGAGCAGAAGGTATCAGTAGCACTGTTAGCATCAGAGATGACAACATTTTAGGGGAAGGAAGTGAAGATAAAACCATAGTAGACAGCCGAGAGTGTGAGAGTGAGCGTAGGTTACATCGAAAGATGAGCTGTGGAGGGGTATGTGGTGTGAGGGGAACCATGAGGTTAAGAGTGAGGAGGAAGTGATCCGAGGTGTGCAGTGGAGTAACTAGCACATGATCAGTGGAGCAGTGTCGTGTGTCAATAAGGTCCAGTTGGTTACATTTTTCCTTCAGAAATGTAATCTATCAGTTTAATTCTTTTCCAAATTCCATTTTTTCCATTTAAATATTTCTTAAATTTTGTCAGTGTTTTCAGTTGTAATATTAATTTAATATCTGGTTTAATATTAATTAATTTAATATTAATTAATATGAAGTAATTGAAAATGAAATCAAGAAACCTATACATTTTAACAGCAATTTATTAAAGGTTTAACAAAAATTACATTTTTGTAATGTTTTATTTTTTTCTCAAATTTAGTTTTATTTTTACCAAATTTGTAAAGTAAATCTGTTTTCCATTAATTTTCTGGAATCCATTTGAATGGTTTCATAAAATTTAAATAAACAAAAGCATATCTAATTAATTGATTTTATAAACAAAATAGTATTTTATTTATTTATTTCAGAAATACTGTGTATTTGCATTTTTTTCTGGTAAATAAATTCTGTTAAAAAATGTTATGCTAAATATTCTTTAAAGAATAATGTTTTAATAATAATGTTATTAGTAGTAGTACTAGCACTACATTGAACGCCTCATGAAATCAAAATTTACACTATCTACTTTGATAGCACACTGACCTACTTTTGATTTATTCATCCAAAATTTTGCAAATTCCGTGACATTCCAAATTATAGAGTAAATTCCATTTTTATGACTAGATTCCATGATCCTGTCCATATTTTCCACATAAAGTAGCAATATAAAGATATTACTACTATTATTTATAAATATACCTTTATATATTTTATATATAAAGGTATAAAATGTACCCTTTAGGAGTAAATAACATACAAATGTGTACATCTTGAAAAGGTACCGCCCCAGTGATTTTGTACCATTTTTTCTGAGTGCATGGACATATTTAATATTTCTAAGTGATCTCTCCAATTTATTCATTCACAAACTTCACTTAATTTGTTTATTGTCTTTTTAACATGTATTTCACTCT